CCCGAAGGGAAAATAAAAAAAAAAAAAAAAAAAAAAAGAAAGAAACAAAGAAAAGAAAATAGAAATTCTGTAAGGTGGTACGAGCAGGCTCCTTCGACAATCCATACAACAGACGTGCTTATTCCCATTTCACAGGTGAGGAAAGCAGACTGGAAAAGGTCAGGTAACCTTTTAGGTCATATAGGGCTAAGATTTGGGACATTCTACCTTCCTGACTCCAGAGTTCTTTTTTTCCCTCCAATTCTTAAGATGGGTTCCCCCAATTTTACCATCTCTTTTTTTTTTACAGATAAGAAAACGTAGTCTCAAAGACATTAAGTACCATCTCACAAACCATTATAAAAAGTAGGGTTGGTTTCCTAACATATCTGTTGACCACATCATAGGGCTGAATGGGTTGCCCACTTCCTTCCATGTAACTGATAGGGAAGCGCAAGCCCAGAATGGTTTGTGTTGGTAGAGGGTCATGCCAGGTCATTTTTCTTGATTTCCTTTGCTCTGCGGCTTACTGCCTCGATGTAATATGGCCACATGCCCTGCGTTTCCTGGAATAGTCTTGATTTCAGATGTTTTGCCTTTTAGAAACCAGTTGCTCTACAAAACCATTGACCTGTCCTGTAGCTTCCCAAAGTGAGTATTCTGGCAACATCCCTCCCTCTGCCTCTTCCAGTGGCATAGAACTTCAGCCTAGTTATTCATTCAGAAACACAATCCCTTTGGACAAGCCACAATAATTGTTCATTAACAACTTAAGGCACCTGCAATCCAGCTAGCTTTCTTCTTTGATATCAGAAAGCCATAAACTTAAAAAAAAAAAGTTTAAGAGGATTTTCATGGGCCGTTTTTTCACAGAAGGGAACTGATTTTGCTGCTGAGAGATGTCGGTTATGAAAATAGGGGCTAGATCTGAAATGGCTTTGGTAGTCCTTGACCCTGAATGTTTTACACTCAGGAGTTCCTGAGATGGTATAGAATACTGGATTTTCAGTGCCCACTACCACTACTTAAAATCTAGAATCCTTCCATTATGTAATTTCTAAGTTCCTCGGGAAGGCCAAGCTCAGTTCTAGGCTCTGAAATAGAGGGAGAAAAATGAGGCCCTGCTCCCTGCTCTTACCTCTGAGGCCCTTTGACAAAGTGCTTGGATTGTTAGGATGTACGAGTCTGACTAGAGCTGGGGTCTGTGGAAACTACAGTCAGTGACTGAGTGATACATGGAATACGTAAAGGATAGTAACCCATTTCCCCCCCAGGTGACCGCCCATGCCCTGCCGGGCCATGCCCTAAATAGCCCACCCTCCTCTAGGCTTAGCCATGGTCCTGTATTGGCCACACGGAGTATGAATTCAGGATGTCTAGAACCCTCTCAAGTCCCTGTTTGTTAGACTGCTACATAGAAAGCCTACTCCCCACCTCCTCACCACCATTGAGCCAGCTTAGCAAAGCCCCAAGTCCTCCCTGGCCCCAGCTTGACCAGAAGAGAGGCCGGGGGAGCATGGCTAAAGCCTGGTTGCTGCTCAGTCCTGCTCAGTCTCTAGCAGAGCTTTCAGTGTAGTCATCTGTCTGTGGCTTTCCAAGTAGGATGTGTGAAAATAAAAGTCAGGGGTGGGGCACGGTCCACGCTTAGCCATCGCCAAGGTGAAGAACAGCTGAACAGTGAGGGGCCCAGATGGCTTTGCTAATGCCTACAGACATCATGATTCTCAGCCTCCCAGGGCTTCTGTGCTGTCGAGAAAGGGTGCCTTTCTCACTAAGGTAATTATTAACCTGGTGTCCACCTGCATGTGGGTTAGTGGATGGCCACCCTCAAGGTCAAGACTGTTTACCCTCAGGAGCACTGGAGGGTTCTACATCACAACATCTGGTGGAAGTCGGCAGACAGGAAAACGGGCCCCATTAGGGAAGTAGTTCCATAAAATGATGAATCGTTTCCAAAAGACCGTTAAAATTCTTTCCTATTTCAATTTTTTTCCCTTCAACAAAGGGAATACATTTATGTAGTTCAGATTTTAAGAAAACAAAAAGACTTCTTGCTAAAAGAATCTCACCCTGCCGCCCCAGCCACCAAGTCTCAGTATAGCCGGGAGTGTTTCTAATTTAAAGATTAAAAAACAATGTCCTGGGATTTTTACTACCAAAACTGAGGACAAGTCTTCCTGAAATTGCAAGTTAGCTTGCATTCGACCTCGTTGACCTCAGCCCACTGCAGTTATGCCATCCTGTTCAGGGAGGAGGCCTACCAGATGACCTGGATAAGGTAGCACCCCCACTTTACCATATCCTGTCCTTGCTTGGCCTCACCTTTTGTCACGGTGTTCCCATGGTGTTTCATGTGTGTTTGGTTTTGTAAGTCACTGTTTCCCTTCCTAGGGTGTGAGCCCCTCAAGGGCAGGGGTTTGCCTCTTGTTCAGTGCTGTATCCCAGCTGCTAAGGAGTCCATACTGCTCAATAAAGAACTGGTGACAGAGTGTGTGGTTAAGGCAAGTGCTGATTCCTTCGCAGGCTCGCTCACAGCCTGTGCTGTCCAGGGCCCAGTGCTTACACCCTGGGGAGGCAAACTAGGGACATGGCACTGGAAGCAAGAAGGAGGCCCAGGTGATACTGGCAGAGTTGATGCTGGTGGGTAGAGCCTGTGTGACAGCAGTGGCCGGGATGACGCTCAGAAGAGAGGAGGTGGCTTGGGAGTGGGAGCAATTGAGACGTCGGCCAGCCAGCTGGGAACCTAAGTGGGCAGGAGAGGAAATGAGTGTCCACCCCAGAGGTGGTGGTTGGAGCCGCAGGGGCGAGCTCTCTGGCCGAGGGTGAGAGGGTTGAGAGCTGAGCCTGTGGGCAGGGGAAAGGGAGGACTTCAGTGGGGATGGACCTAAGTAGGCATGGCTTTTCCTGGGTTCACCTCCTAAGTGAGCTAGCAAAATGTGAGAGCTTTGAGTAAGTGGCCCTAGCCTCATGGTGGGACAGGGTCCGCATTAAGGTGGCCTTGTGAGAGCGCAGGTCACTATCCATCTCTTCGGTACACCGTCAGGACCTCCGCAGGTTTTCTTATTTATGAAAGGGGGTAATGATAATTCCTCCGTCCTCGGTTTACTTTGAGGATGAATGGGAGTGACTAATGTAGACCAGGGAGGGCTGGAAACACTGGCTGCTGCCATCACTGGGACCTTATTCTTTTTCTTTTTCATTTGCCAGAGGGCACTTGTGTTCACCAGAGAGAGGAAGCGAAAGTACACCCCATGGCGGATGGTCACACCCTAATCCCTTCTCCATCTCCCCTCCTTTCAGGATTTTGGGCACGCATGCACACATGCCTGGTATATTTCTCAAGCCACTAGGTCTGGGATGTGAACCTTGCAGTTGGCCATATGGGATGCAGCCACTTTAACCACTAGACTGGTCCACCACTGGGACTTTAGCAGAGGGAATGGGAGCGGAGGAAGCAGAGGGAGCGAATCGGAAGTTTGGTGGTGTGGGAAGGAGATGGCAGTGTCTGGTGCCAAGTCCTGGCAGAAGTGGGAGGGGCTGTGAAGGCAGTAGATACCCAGGTGGGCCTCAAAGGAGGGGACAGCACTCACACAGTGACGGGGACAGCCGCCACTGGCCTGGCTCCATGGTGGGGTCCCTCACCCACATCCAGAGGCACCACTAGGTAAAACTGTGTGCAAGGAGTTAGGGCCTGTGGAAGGTGAAGCTCCC